AACCCTTTTCTTCGTTTTTTGTTTTACTCTCTGTCAAAGCGTCTTTGAGTTTTAAAAAAAAAGCGCTATATAAGTGTCATGTATAATACAACAAACAACAACAACAACAATAATAATAATGGGAGTTTCCCATCCTGCAGCTGTCCCCAGTTTTAGTTGTTATTCAAATAGTTGGATTTTGGTAGATCAATCATGAGCCGAGTCCTACAATTAGATTTTAAGTATTTATTAGATGGTTCTATTTCTGTAATGACGACAGTGACAATTCATCAAGCATTAAAACCCATCAGTGTCATTCCTGCTGCGGTGACAGGGGAGCGGACCAGAGGAGGCGATCCCCCACCCACTCCCTGTGGTTCTTCCTGTGCACTTACGGTAATATCAAACTCCCTTTTCTAAATCACTGAAAATCTCCTCGTTCCAGCTCCACAAGTGCTTCTGAAATAACGAAGCATTTTATGTTCATGTATGCAGAATTAATCTAACAAATAAACTATCATGCAATATGACAGATACGTGAACCGATTGCATTTTCACCTCGCACCCACTCAACCCCGACATGCAAACCGGTCCCGAAGAGGAGACCGCAGGAAGTCATAACACTGCAGGTGGGAGGAGGAAGTGAACGACATCATCATTTGTAATTAATTTGACAACACAAACGCTGTATAAAGTAATATGTTTTACCTCTTGCTGTTAGCTTTCAACGTCTCAACTGTAGGAAACAGAAAAGACAGATGATTAATATTCATTTGAAATCAACACACACACACACACACACACACACACACACACACACACACACACACACACACACACCACACACACCATGTATACATCACTTCAGGGGACATTACATTGACTTACATGCATTTCCTGGAGACTTATCCTAACCTGAACCATAACCAACACATGCCTAACCCTAAACCTAACCCTAACCAAGTCTTCGCCCTAAAATTAATGATTCCCCTTATGGGGACCTCCACTTTGTCCCCATAAGGGAAGCGAGTCCCCACACGTGACTGTCATGATTTTCGACATGGTACAAAATGGGACTCTACATTATATTCCATTTATGTAATCTTTTTCATGTTCATGAGTGTGACTTCGTCGACTAGTCTGTCTAAATGACGGTTTTGTAACTCATGACAGTAGCAGGCTCTTATGGACACATGAAAAATGACGAATCGGGTACTCTACTATACTTTAGTCTTGAAAGAATGACTTACATGTGCAACTTTTCATTTTACCATCATTTTTGATCCGGGATGCATTTCCATTTATTCATTTTTACACCAGTTTCATGAAATACACGTCAATTTCATTGAAGTTCATTTTCATGACTGACACGGTCGATGTTACACCAAATATCAAAATTAAGTATCAATTTATTACATGTCAATTTCATAACTATCACGTCATTTTATACATGTATTTGTCATGAATTTCGTTTTTCATGATTAACACGTCATTTTACAATCTATTCCATGAACTTCATTTTCATGACTGACTACATCATTACAATTCAAAGTCATGAATTTTATTTCATGAATTTATTTTCATGAATTCATTTTCATAAATTTCATTTTTCATGATTAACATTACAATTCAAGTCATAAATTATCATTTTTCATGGCAACAAACCAACATGAAACACGTGCGATGTTTCTTAACATTTGTGTGGCCGTACTTCGAATATTATAAACTGGACGAAGTGTGGGAAACATTATACACTTTCCTGAAAATGACAGACTTCATGAAACAACATAATCATGCAACTGGAAACACAGGACCCATTAAAAATGACTCAGTACAATGAGGAGGTCGTCTTGTGTTCTTGGGGCCTCTCTCCTCTCGTCTAAAGGTCCTTTTGTCCGTCGTGAGTGGCCGGCAGTCCTCCCGCTTCTAGGGCCAGGTTTCAGCAGCCGTAGCCCGGTAGTACTCGCCCGTCTTTAGCACACAACAACGCACTAGACAACCCTCGGAGACTCGACGTCTCTGTCTCTTGTCTACAAAGAGTACGGTCATACACAATCGGGCGGGGGGACGACGAGAGAGTAAGAGAGAGAGAGAGAGAGAGCGAGCGAGAGAGAGAGGGTGTGTGTGTGTGTGTATGGTACATATGTAGGAAGCCCCTGTAATGTAACTGGACATGTACGTAAGGGACCTCCGAATAGGATTGTGAATTGGTTAATTAGTTGTGTACGGATTGGGATTGGTTCAGGGGAAAGTGGGATTTTTTTTGATCAAATATGNTCCACTTATGGGGACCTCCATTTTGTCCCCATAAGGGAGGCGAGTCCCCACACGTGACTGTATAAACAGATTTAGGTCCCCACAATTATTGTAATACTAGGCCACACACACACACACACACACACACACACACACACACACACACACACACACACACACACACACACACACTTGTAAATATTACAGTAACAGACATGCATTTTATTTGTTTGTTTGTGTTAAGGCATGGTAAACACACCCTGAACTACTAACTAATACTTTGAGTCAAAACCAACATAGTGTGCAATGATAGCAGGGGTTATGAAAGTTAGATACAGTACAAAAACACTTACCAATAAACAAGAAATGATTTGACCTATAGGTCCAGGTGTCCTGAATAAATTATATAAGAAACGTAACACTTACAGTATTAACTCACAACAATACTCACCTCATGAATATTCTAGTAGCCGGTCTATTTGTCACCGGGATTGAGATCTGTTGAAAATAAAGAGAAGTCTATAAAACCTGTAATACCATTTTATTTTACGACAAAATATCTTTATTAGCGGAAGCATTTTACTTCCTCCTTCAGAGGTTTTATATGTTGTAGTAAACAAATTGTTTTATATCAGGCGCAGTGCAACATTCCAAATGGGAACCTCGCAAAGTAAAGCCCTTTAGTTCCTTGACAAAAAACGAAATGACTAATCTCATAGAATCTATATACAAATTGTGAGGGGGGGGTTCTCGCAAATGTACCGCATTTATCCGGGAGCACGGTAGTTTTTTTCCTTAAACATATGACTTAATTCTGTGAATATTACTCCCCTCTCCTTGCTTCGTAGTTAATACTTTCTTACCTACAAAGGCACTGGAACTTGAATTCATGTGTCTTTGCTTTTAAATGCGATTTTATAATATGTTTCTAAATGCTCTTAATGTCTTTCATTTGTGTAAAGCACTTTGAATTGCCTTGTGTTGAAAGGTGCTGTATAAATAAACTTGCCTTGCCTAATACACCGTCGAGGTGAATAGCCTACAGACCTTTGAAGGGAAAAATAATAAAACACAGAGGAATTAACTCGAGGAACAAGAACAAGACCTTAGGAACACGACAGACACTTCCAACAAACCAAATGAGAAGTGTTTTATAACGTGTGACTGAAAAGAAAACGCTTCTCAGATTTTAAGTGGAAAACTTAAAAGAAATTCAGTTATAAAATGTTGCAACGCAGCAGTTCTCTGTGTTGCGACAGAAACTGTTCTTACCCCCCCCACACACACCCCGTGTGCCTGCAGCCTCTCATCAGTCACAGTTCTCTCTGCGTTTAACGCTCCGGCTGACCACAAAGCGACTCTCACTGTGAACATGTTTGCACCCTGACCGAGAGCTGTACTCATCACAGAAAGCAGGCCTCACATCAGAAACGTTTCACTCAATTCAGAGAAAAAAGATCGAGCTCTCAGAGGCACATGAGACCACGTACTGAAACTTGGCAAAAGTGTTTTAAAGCTGCTTTACTTTAAGATAATTCAACCTGTAGACATGGCGTCTTTTTTTTTTTAATATACAGAATTAGTTTGTATACAATATCCTGAAAAAGACTGCTGAACTTTTCTCTGTTATCAAGTGACTTTGAACCTGTTTTTAGTGCCTTTTTGATGACATGAAAGATTACATTTGTCCACCATTAAATAACTTTGTTTTAGCGTGTGGAGAGATAAACACCTAATAACTTAAAGACAGAAGAACACGTTGGTCAGGATTGCATGAGACAACATCGAGTTCTACTTTATAATAAGCCAACCATTTCCTAAAATGCTAATGTTCAGGTTCATACTTGTATTGTGTGCCTCTCATGTGACATGTTTGAATTCTTAACCCTCCTGTTGTCTTCGGGTCAAATCTGACCGATTTACTACTTTCATAATTCATCACTTTTTTGTTTTACATTCGATTGCATTAAGACTTTATGATATCCTTCACAGTAGACATTTGAACATATAAATTGCTGATCACCACTTTCATTGAATTTTGGATGATTTAGTCAACTTTGTAACACCCATGGTGTTCCCGGTCAAAAATGACCGCCATAAAGAAAAGGAATTAGTAACCATCCAGATCAGATAAAACACGCACACACACACACGCACGCACGCACGCACGCACGCACACACACACACACACACACACACACACTAGATGTGTTCCCCCCCTTATGTGCCCAATCCCCCCTTGTGAATCACACTTGGCACTCACAAACACACACACAACAATTTGACACATTTCCCGCTCTTATGTGCCCATCCCCCCACATGGATCTCAACTGGCACATGCAATACTTGTTCAGTGTCTGTTCTTTGTATATTTACTGCAGTTGTTCATGTATACCAGTAGTCTGATACAATAAGTACAGTTTGAAAGGGTGTTAAATGAAATGTGGTGATGATTAATCGTTTTTGTGTTAATGTAATAGCAGTTAAAACAGGACCGGTCAAATTTGACCGTGAACACCAAAGTAAGGGGGGAGAACGAAGACAATAGGAGGGTTAAGAGAAACTTCCTCTGGAGAGAACTTTGGGATTTTGCACAAAACCTATACAACACAACAACATTACAGCAAATGGAAAACCCCCCAAAGCATGACATGGCCCCTTTAAAGGTTTCACACGTTTAACTAATCGTTTAAAGGTTGTTGTGTTGTTGTTTTTTAAATGCCTTTGGTTGGTCTCTCCTTTCCTCCAGCATGTTATCTTTTTATTCTTTTAAGCTCAACTTCTCAGAAAGACCTTTCCAAGTTGTTGGTGTTAATAAACTCTTATACTGTATATGAGTGTATTTTGATACACTACCAGACACTAGGATGTTTTCAGAAAGTATAATCATCAATCAATGGACACCAATAAAGTTTAAATCTCTCAACAAAATGGAGCTGAAAGGCTGGTGGAGGATCAAGTCAATGTTTTGCTACTTAGTAACCCAAAAAATGGTCTTGTTAATGTCTTAAAACTATTCTATAAAACACTATCAAGTGATGTTAGCCATTAAATACAAATCACCCTTAACAAAGTCATACGGAAAAACATTCGGTCTACATTGATGCATTATTGTATATCTATCTTTGCACACATTTTCATTCTGACACGCTGTCCCCTTTAACTCATAGTAAGGCTTATTCACACATGCTAACCGGCACACATGACCACAAACACACGCACACACACACACCACAGATTATCAGATTATCAGGGGTTCCTTGATGGCAGCCAGAAGAGGAAAGTTCTTCAGAATTTGAAATCTACCTGAGGACATTTTCCCTTCTGCATGTGCATCACAGGAGACAGTCCTGATAAGAGGGGAGTGAGAGGTGATGCACCTCTCAAACCACCCACCTTTTCCCTTTAGTCAAACAGAGAGAGAGGAGACGAAAGGGGTTTTCTCTCTCTATCTCACTTCCTCCCCGTGTACAGAGTGTGTGT